CTCTCGAGGCGCCGCGCGCCCGGCGTTGCTCAGCGCCGCGCCCGCACAGCGCCAGCCGCTGAAGAGTCCACTGACCGGCCCGCACTGCGGCATAGCACCCGGAGACTGTAAAGTTTCGTGGCCCAACGCGGGTCAGCCTCCCCGTCATGAGTCCCAACGCTCTCACCAGACACCGGGGCGTCTGTCCCCCGCCGCAGCTCGTACCCGCCCACCGTCCTAGCTCGTCGGTGCTGGAAGACGAACTCTTCTGGTCAGCGCTGACGTAGCTGACGTCGACAAGTGTTATTGTACCCCCTCCTTAACGTCATAACACACTAACTCGAATGTCACCCACCCAACACACCTACCGACGTAATGCGCACATTCATGGCGATGTCCCTCGTCCCACTAGTCGCCAGCATCGGCTCACCACGCACACCTTCTCTAGTGATGGTCATAACCTAGTCAGATCGGGCGGATCAGTCCATCAAAAGTATAACGACGGCCAGAATATAACCTGTTTGCGCACGAATCGTGTCGCCGGACTCTCCTGCGTATTTGCCGAATTCGCGCACTGGAACACACCGCAAATCCGAGCCGAGCACGTATGAACTGCGTATGCGTGAGTGGCAATAACTCTCCTTACCAGCAGGCGGCGATAGTGTGTATTCATCATTCAAAAGAGGCAACAACCGGAACAACCGGAAAACAGAGAAGAAGAACAGACTCCATGATATAAACAAACAAAAAATAGCGTTTTTGTTTCCATTTTCACTCTCGTCCATTGAAAACATGAACGAACAGGAGCTCTATAAACCGATGAGGTGAAATAGCCGTCCGTGTGTGTTCCATCTTCCATTTTAAATCATTTGTTTACCTCCCTCACTTCCGTTAACGCGTCTCATGCAATGGTTCGCTAGCTGAACAGCCAATCAGTGTTATCCCTTTGTCCGACTTCCGGTGGTGTTCCCGACGTGAATCGGCAAGAAAAGGCGTCAGGTCGGCAGAAAAGACCCGACGGTGCGGCGCACACCACTCCGAATAGGGCGTGCCCACGCTCATGTTCGGCCCGACTCCCATTTACTGCCGATTTCGGGCCGGTGTATCTGGGCCTTTAGCTTCCTAGAGCAAGTGGCACTGCTCTATGAGGTGTGAACGATTACATTAAGCCGGGACCTGGCTCGGAACACTGTTGTTGTTGTTGTTGGCGAAACACATCAGCAATGATACGTATTTTATGACATAGAACAAAAACGTGTACATCTTTTCAGCTTGTATGTCCGATCTTAAATGAGCCATCTATCCAAAACCAGTTCAAAAAACCATTGACTTTGAGACAATGGGACCAGAAATGCTAACTCATTGTCAGGTTTTAGGACTCCAGCCCCAGTTCTGGTAGTTCTGTTGAGAAAGACATTTTGTACAAAAACAAATTAGATGCTGATAGTTATACATCTTTACTGCACTGTATATAACACAACCGTGATGATACCTGCTTCTTTTGTAGACCAAGCCAGCGGTGGTACCATCGACTGGACCTACAACCAGGGCATCAAGTACTCCTACACCTTCGAGCTGAGGGACACCGGTCGCTACGGCTTCATCCTGCCAGCCAGTCAGATCATCCCTACCGCCTCTGAAACCTGGCTGGCTCTGATGGCCATCATGGACCACGCCTACAAGAACCCCTACTAAAGTGTGTGTGTGTACAAGTCATCTTGAAGACTAATATCACCATCATCATGAGTCTTTAGACAAATGAAAGTCACAAACAAACGAATAAATGAGCACACTTAAAAACTGCAGTTTCTATTTCTTTTTTATTTAAAGCTAATGGGTTGAATTACATGTTTACGCACATATTTGTCTGAATTATGTAATTGTTAAGACTATCATGATCCAAATATATATTTCTTTCTGTCCTGTGCCAATCATAACAAAAGCTAAGAGGCCTAAAACTGTAATTATATTACATTTTTGGTAATTGGGCTTATTCAAAGGTTAATACATTTTATTTATATGTTAACTGCACAAATCGATAGTTAAACATGTCATATTGTAATCTAGGGAATAAGATAAGTCTCCCTTTTAACATTAGACATAATTAACCATTATTGAACAAAATAAATCATACTCCCTTTAGCTTTGTTGTGTTTCTCAACATTACAGAACCGTCTAATTGACACAAGAAAACAATACTGATACAGCAAACAATGATACACTTTATTTGACATTCATTAACAAATAAAATCAAGTGTCAAGATTGTTAATGTGAGTTAAGACTGCCTGAAATCACAGGCTGCAGGGTAGCACATATTAAATGCACCGAACAAGAGATTGCGTGAGTGTATTCAGAGGCCAAAAACAAAAATCACCACCAAGCCACAAAACAAAAGGCCACACATTAGCAATCAATACTGTTTCTCAAATGCATCTGTGGGCAGTGAGGTCTCCTCCCTTCAATGTCACAGCGATGTTGGTATAATGACAGTTTGCATGCTAACCAGTCAGTGTGATCACAACTCACATTATTGTCTTCACACACACACACAAAGGCAACCAGTCACGTGACAGCATTAGCGGATGAACAAGTTGAACACAAAAGCTACTTGAGAAAATTACAAAAATACAGCACATCTTTACTTCATTTTACAAAATGGATCGAGCTCTGTGACGTCATTTATATAAATTACACCTCGTGTCAAACACAGATTTTTAGTTTCATATCGTGACATTCAAGGATTCTCCAGCAATAAACGTGACATTTATCTAGTGGCTGAAATTCAACGTGACCTTTTTAGACGAAGAAGGAGAAGAAATAAGAGATTATCCACAGAGTTAAGTTTCTATCTGGACAGGTGGTTGTTTCAAAGGAGAGTTACATGAACAATAGATTAGAGTGCAGGCTTTAGGTTGACGGATGAGAAACTGTGCAAACATTCAAAAACACGCCATTTATTACATATTATAAGAAACATAAAAAGTGGAAAATACTTTTAAATTTGTGCAGCTGATGAGTCTGAAACTAAATTATGCAGATTATATTGTTGTATGTCTTGATTAGAGTTTTAAACATTTTGGTCTCTACTTCAGTGTCGTGTTAACTCCTCCCCCAAAAGGTGGTTAAATCAATGTTAAGCATCTGTGTCGTAGAGATGTGTTTCTATACACTTCTATAACTCGAAACATGAAATAAAGGGACTCTTAGTCAGAGGTATGTTTGTTCATGTATTTCTGTGTGGATGATGAAGGTGTTATTTCCAGGGTCTGCTGCTCTGAGCCCTGCTGCTGTCCCTCCCTGCTACGGAGGAGGAGGAGGACGAACTCTGTCGGCTGCGAGCGCTGGACGCTTTGGAGAGAGAGCTGCCGGAGGACACGCGGCTCGACATCCGGCCTGCAGGGAGACACACAGGGACAGACAGGGAGACACACAGGGAGACACAGGGAGACACACAGGGAGACACACGGGGAAACACACAGGGAGACACACAGGGAGACACACAGGGACACACGGGGAGACATACAGGGAGGGAGACACACAGGGAGACACAGGGAGACACACAGGGAGACACAGGGAGACACACAGGGAGACACACAGGGAGACACACAGGGAGACACAGGAAGACACACAGGGAGACACACAGGGACACACGGGGAGACATACAGGGAGACAGAGGGAGACACACAGGGAGACAGAGGGAGACACACAGGGAGACACACGGGGAAACACACAGGGAGACACACAGGGAGACACACAGGCGACACACGGGGAGACACACAGGGAGACACACAGGGAGACACACAGGGAGACACAAATGACAGGGAACATGTGTTTATTTGAAATCAATAGAGAACAATTCATTGAGGAAACCTGTTTCGAAACAGTTGCTCCATTAAAACCAAATGGAATACAAATATTTAAACAACACATAAGACGTTAAAGTTGAAGAATGGGCAATATGGAGCTATAATAAAAATAAAAATAAATATCGACACAAGATGTTAAAAGGAAGTGTCCAGTAAGATGTAAGTAAAATGAAATATATAAACGAATAACACAAGAACGATAGCTTTACTCAAGAGGGGTTTTGATTTTCAGGAAATTGGTCTGGTATAAATAAATCAAGCCAAACAGATAGCATGTTCTTTTTGCATTACTTTGGTTCTGTTTTCCCCATACTGTATGTATTACTTGAGTTCTCTCCAGGGAGACGCCTGATCAGAGCTGGGATGAAGCGTAGTATCTGAGTGTGTTCTTACTGTTGGAGTTGCTGGGCACGAGGTTCTCCTCCAGCTGATCCTGGATCTTGGTCAGATCGTCAGAAGCAAACCTCCAGCACTTCTCCGCGGCCTGCAGAGGAGGCTTCGGCACGGAGCTCTTCTTCCCCTTCGAGGGCGAGGGGGAGGAGAGGCAGGAGGTCGGGAGGGAGCCCGTCGTCAAACCTTCTGGAAACTTCTGAGCGATTACCTTAAGACCTGAGAGAGGACAGCAGAGTTAAAGGTGGGAGGCGTGTGGCGCAGTGGCCTAGT